GGGAGCCCGATGTGGGACTCGATCCCGGGACTCCAGGATCATGACCTGAGCCGAAGGCAGTCGCTTAACCAACTGAGCCACCCAGGCGCCCTGTAAATCTCTTTATATAAGATATTATATGTCATATGATTGTGGGATAAAGAGAGCAGCTATGAATACATAACTAAACCTGGTTTTTTTTTTTTGGCACTTGCTCTGTGGGAGATAATTAAACACAACTGGCAGATAGAGCTCTTCAAAATACTATCTGATACATAGAAACATTGCATAATGTGTTAAGATTTTACTTGAATTGTCCAATTTTTAAAGTTCACTATATTTTAATCAGTTGTAATTTCTACTCAGATATTAGTACAACTTAAATTCTCTCATCAATTCTATTTTAGAATACAAGAAAAACCGAGTGGTAGACTTAAACACGTATTTTCTAAAAGACCATTGGATTTTATTTACATCATAAAAAAAAACCATCCAATCACTCTAGTTCATCATCTAAAAATAAAGAAATCATAACAATTTTCTGCTAAGGGTAGGTGATTTGAGGAGCATAGTTACCTTACCCTTGGCTAGGTGAAATGCTTCCCTCTAATAGTGTTGCTGATTTGAGCCGACAACAGACATGTACAGTCGTATGTGAACTTGAACATGAGCTCCTGCCACATAATAATGAGAGCTGGAGGATAACCTGGCAAGATGACAATACTTGACAAAAATAACATACTTTTATTTGGTCTCATGAACAACAAACAGCCAGTTTCTAGCCTATGCTGGTGGGCTTCCTAGGAACAATTCAGAGGAGTGGTACAGAGCAGTTTCACCTATAAATCATGCATGAGGCGTTTCATAAAAGGTGTCTCTATTTATCAAAATGTCTGTCAGTTTGGTTATGAATCAGAAAATACTGAAGTAGCTCTTTTAGCAAATGCCTCAGGATTTGAAATACTTGAATATAGCATCTTGGATGAGTTCCTGTTTGCTGATTGTATCATTTGCATGAGTCTATCAGTAGCAGGGGATGTGGCAATAATCTGTTCCTGTTCACACTTCTGACTCATTGTTGGATTTGGGGGAATCACTCGAGGGGGTATTAGAAGCCAACTCAGCCTCTCACTCAAGCCACTGAGACAGCTGCAGTTGGGTGTTTATCTGAGATATTCGAGACTAGAGCTAGAGCCAAGCATTCTTGGCTCCCCGTTTAGTATTCTTTCCATCATACCACACTCTTCAACTCTCTGATTCCATGTAGCCTTTTAAATCTCCTATGTTTCATTGTATTCTTCTTCACTCTGTGCCTGTGATTTGTCTGTAGTGATGGCTCCTGAACTGTCTTTGATCCATTAAACCTGTTATTCCATGGACCACAGGCACACAGCAGAAGCCATATATATTTGATTTACAGAATAAAGTACACCAAAAATGATTTACATAATTTTTAACAATGGCTTTTAGAATCTTCATGCTTTTGTGATTTAGAAATAAGAATTAAAACAGAAGAATTAAGCACTCAATTTAGAAATTGAGAAATATAGATCTAGGAAGAATGGATGATTGACCTAGACTTTTCCTGCAAAGATTAGAAGTATACATAATAGGAATCTCCACATATTTGAAAAACTAATTGCAAAAAGTGTGTGTTGATATATTCTCTGTTATTTTCAAATGACTCATTCTTAGAAGTTTCTAAGAGGTCCCAGTAAAATGATGCCTCATTTATACTCTACTATCTAGGAGATGAGAAAGTATCTATTCATGACCAGATCACGTTGGCAAGCTATTCTTACATCCCTGATAAAATGCACTGTAATAACTGCTATCTCCACTTTTATTAATGACAGAAAACTGGGACTCAAGAAAGATGAGATATCAAGACCTGAATCATTCTTCTAAAGTTGTCTTATTTATGTGGACAATTAAAGCTGTCATTAGATGTTCATCTGTTTTCTCTCTTCTAAAGTGGAAGTGTGTTTGAATCATCCCCAGGTACCCTTCAGTATATGGCACCGGAAATCATAGACAAAGGACCACGAGGCTACGGGAAAGCAGCAGACATCTGGTCTTTGGGCTGCACCATCATCGAAATGGCCACAGGGAAACCACCTTTTTATGAACTGGGAGAACCACAAGCAGCTATGTTCAAGGTCACATTTCATATGTCTTAAATGTCTTAAAAACCGTTGGATAAAGCTACTGGATGTTCCATGTATGTGTATGATATTTTTTTAGGCAAAAGGGAAGGAGCCTAGGTAAGCACATTACATGTGCTCTCAGAGCTCAGTGAAGTCAAGAAGATTCACTCCCCTCAAAGTCAGTGCGTATGCCTCATACTGAGGATCTCTCCCTGCCTTAGATTTCTCAGCTATAAAGTGAGATTCCATGTAACTTCGTCTAACCACCTTTTTACAATGCAGCATAAATAACACACTACTCCATGGAAGACGACTTAAGCTCTTTGGGAAACAGTCTGGAAATCCTCCATGGAGGGAGATATAAGGACATTTTTACTTCATTTAAGTATTAAATCAAAGCAATATTTTCCTTCTCTATCATAAGAGTTTGGAGGCTCCATTAAGAAAGGGGTGGGCAGTAATTGCTATTTTAAGGGCGCCAATCATATTCTTATTATAGCTACTCTTCTAGCCGCTTACTTTGCCTTTCGTTCTTAACTCTCCTGGGAGGAGGAAGCAGCCCATCTCCCAAAATAGGGAGCACCTAATATGGAAATAGGACTGATATGGAAATAGGACTGACAGAGCCCAGGGGCCACAGCCTTGGAATCCAGGGACTGAGCAAAGCAGTGACCTGCTCTGAGTCCCTGCCGTCCCCACCTGTCCTTGCCTGCCACACTGCCAAGCCGGAGGAAGGTTTAAACTGAGCACCTGTTTCCCAAGAAGTAAAGCTCACCCATCTGCTGTTCTCTAAGGCAGAAGACTTCCGATGAAAATTTGTGATTTCTTTCCCTGCCTCGGACCATGTTTCTAGCACTTATTCCACTGTGAATAGCCTCTCTCGTGAGGGGCCATGGGTCACATACCTTCTGCTTGTGTAGAAAACTTGGCTTCCCTTCCGCTTGCAAATGATCTGATGGGATACTGCTGATAGAGAAATGAGGACTGTAACCAAACTGGAAGGGCAATGAGAGCTGCTAAGAAAGCTGCCTTTCTTGACATAAATGGGTGTCTTTCTCTTCTTGGTCAGTGTTTCAAGTTTTCACCCATCTCTAGGATTTCACTCTGAAATGCTGCTCTATTACCCATCGGTGTAGGGATTATTATACAGTATGCTTTAGATGAGATGACATAGACTCTAGCACTGATTTACAGTGTTTGAATCTAGGCTCCAACACAGTCAGACTCTTTGATGACTTTGGGCAAATTGCTTAACCCTCTTGTACCACATTTTCCTAATCTGTAAAATGGGTATAAAAATAGTAGCGATCTAATAAAGGTTTTTTGAGACGTGTATGAGATAATATGTGCAAAACACTTAGAATAGTGTCTGATATAGTAAAGGCTATATAATTACTACAAATAACTGTATATTATTGTTTATATAATAATACACTTCTATAAGCTACATAATAACAAAAAAAATTTCCTTAGAAAATTTTCTCTACTAACTACATGAAAACATTATTGAAAAAAAATACTAGAATGGCAGCGGTGAGAAGAAAATTCTAATTGTTATAAAAATTCTGTGTTTAATTTTAAAGTATCTCTTCATATAGGCAATCTGAGACAGGAAAAATATTCAGGACTCACAGCATAGGGGAAAGAACACAGGCTTTAAGCCAGACAAATTAAGGTTTGAATCCCAGACCTGCCTTTCTAGGACAGATCACTCAACCCTCTGAGACTCATTTTTGTCCTTGTTATAACAGGGATAATATTTAATCCACTGGGTTGTTGGGAGCATTCAATGGAATTCATCAATCAAAAAGCCAAGCATAGTTCCTGGCACATAGCTATTATGGCCAACACAATGGTCTCAATTAAAAATCTCTTTCTTGCGTGCCAGCGTGCTAACATGTCCTAAAGTGTCAAGGACTGAATTCTTTCTTCATAGTGCTATCTGCGGTCTTAACATAATTGCTTGGTGTATGTCATTGATAAAGTTACAGAAACACTCTGGAAACTTTCTATAACATAGAGGAAAAAAATATCCTATCACACTTTGAGGAAAGGCATGAGTCTGTAGAATATAGTAAAGGATTTTGTTATGCTAGGGGACCAAGTTTTCGATCCTGGAGCTCATGTGATGAGATGGTCTCTCAAAAGCTACATGTGTTGTGTCTTAGGTGGGAATGTTTAAAGTCCACCCGGAGATCCCAGAGTCCATGTCAGCAGAGGCCAAGGCATTCATACTGAAGTGTTTTGAACCAGACCCTGACAAGAGAGCCTGTGCTAACGACTTGCTTGTTGATGAGTTCTTAAAAGTTTCAAGCAAAAAGAAAAAGACACAACCTAAGCTTTCAGGTATGTGGATACAGGTCAGAGTCACTAAGCCCTAAGCTTTTAAGATGAAAGATTTTTCCAGAAGTAAAGTAATCTGCTTATAGATGTCACTAGAAATTGGTGTAAACATTAGCACAGTGTGCTTAGACATTCAGTTTTGGTATCGGGAAGCTGCCTTACCATCAATTTCACGAATGCTAGGACCTCATATGTAATAGTCTTTCATCACCTGTTAGTCCGTAGATCCTGCGTCAGCATCTGTAGCAATCTCACCTCACTGATACAGAGGTTCAAGTGTAAAAAAGGGTGAAATATAGCCTTTTCGAGCTGAAACTCTAAATCACCACTGATGGGCTATAGAGCTATTATGGAGCTGTTAAAACTTCCAAGCCATCCAGATTATATGTTCTTTTAATTTGAGGAAAACACCTATTGCCTCTTAGAGGATATCTTTATAACTAACCCCCTGCAAAATGAAAGAAAGAAAAGAAAAGAAAAGATTGCCAGTTATAAATAAAACAGCAGTGTAAAAATATAAATTGTCTTTTGCAATAATTTCCATAACTCATTTCAGAAAGGAAAAGTAAGTAAATGATCCCTTGGTTGTTGACATTTTTGTGTTTATTTGGGATGAGGGTAGACAGATTGAATTTTTACAAAGGACATTGATCCCATTTCAAGCATCCACTTTTTTGTTATCTCTGTTTAACAACAAACCCAACGTGTGCTCACGTTGCTGTTTGCTCTTCTTCCCACAGCCCTTTCAGCCGGATCAAATGGTGAGTTCATTTTTGTATTGCCCATTGAGCTGAAGTTTGATGCATTATCATGTGATAAGCTCTAGATTTCCCATTAAAAAGCTTCATCCTCTGCTTTTTGCCTCCATGGGAGGCTCCCGGGTACTAAGGATGTGTACAGCTGCAAGCCTGGCTGGGCTCATTCCTTCAGAACCCCCTCTCCTCCCTAGGAAAGCAAAAACAGATGTGCTAACCCAATTAGCAGCTAAAATCCCATTTATGATTGTTCTTAGGTGTTACAGAGCACTTCGTGCCTCCTGTTAATTAAGACTACAAACTATAACCTGGTTTTACCTCTCCTAAATGAATGCAAACTGCAGGACTCTTCCTTCCCCAGGGGTTCTTTACAGATCATATACAGTTTCTGCCCAGAGGAGAGGCCACTGCCCTACCTCAAGGGGCCTCCACCTTCAACAGCTACCCTCGGCTTCCCTCAAAGGAGGAGTGGGAGGGAGATGAGGAGGAGGACCTCCTTCCCCCTTAGAGAGACGTGACTTGTCCAGTACTGGACTACTCTCCCATTGCCACACAGAAACCCAGAGAATTAAGTAATTTGTTTTAACCTAATAAACACTTGTTGTGCATTCACTGTGTGCACAAGAAATGTGCTAGGCCCTGAATGTATAAGGATGAGAAAAGCATAGTTCCTGACCTTAAGAAGCTGTTGTTCTTGTGGGGGAGACAAGGAATAAATCCACGACACCGTCGTGTAATGTAGTCAGTCCAGAGGGAGTCGCGGATGGGGAGTGGGGAGCCAGGTGAGGTCAGTCCTAGAATGAGTGAATGCAGTAAGCGTGACACCCCACTGTGCGTGAAGGGAACAGGAAGTGGTTCAGCTCTGCTGGTGCTTAAAATACATGGGGAGGAGTTGAAGCTGGAGGTAGTAAGCAGGAGCATATCCCAAAGGGCTCCCTATGAGAATTATCAAACAGGAGGGGAGAGCCAGGGAAAGACTTTAATCTGGAATTAAAATCACGGGGTCTATAATTTGATGATAATAGAAACGTCCTCTGTCTACACTGTCCAAGCCATTAGCCACAAAGCATATGTGCTATTAAACACTTGAAATGTGGCTACCTTGACTGGGCACTGAATTTTAATTTTAATTTGATTGAAATGTTCATGTAAATAAGCACATGTGGCTAGCAGCTACCATATTGAACAGTGAGGCTATTGATGGATCGTTCTGAGAGCTGCGTGAAGAATCGTTTATTTAATAACATTCACTCAGTAACCCCTTAAACCTCTGCTATGCACCTAGTAGCACTCAGAATATAGGGCCTAGGCACTCGAAATATAGGCGTGACTCAGGCCCAGATCTGCCTGCATGGGTCACTTGGAATGTTTGTTAAAAATTAAGATTCCTGGTCCTTCCCAGAATCTAGAGCTATAACCTGGAATGCTATACTTTTAAGTAAACAACCTGAGGACTTTATGCTCACTAAAGTGTGAGAACCTTTGAGATTTGGGCAATCGGAGACAGGAGACAGAGTGACAGTTAGGAGACTGCTCTGGCTGAGCTTTGTCCCTAGATTGTCCTGAACTCGGAGAACCTTGACGGTCTCTGGTGCTCTTGAATAGCTGTTAGGATCTGAGGCAGCTCTCATAGTGATGGGAGGAATTTAGAACATTCCCCCTCTCCCAGAGCAGGGACATATCCAATTCCCTGAACCTCTAAGTTCCCTGAACCCTCCCCTAGGCAGAAGGTCCCAGCAATCTGGGACCCACAAACTGGCCATGTGCTCTCTCCCCACTTCAGTCTACCCCTAATAAAGCCATCTTTTTAGGGGATTCTAGATTCATACCCTTACCCATCAGCTCCCAGAAAAGAGCAACAAGAATCACCCTTCCAGAGGCATACCTTTGACATTTCCCATCCTCAGAGAAGTCCATCCAGCCTCTTTAAGAGTTTCCATGGCCAGGGGCGCCTGGGTGGCTCAGTCGGTTGGGCGTCTGCCTTCGGCTCGGGTCATGATCCCAGGGTCCTGGGATCGAGCCCCGCGTCGGGCTCCCTGCTCGGTGGAGAGTCTGCTTCTCCCTCTCCCTCTGCCTGCCTCTCTGCCTACTTGTGCTCTCTATCTCTGTCAAATAAATAAATAAAAATCTTAAAAAAAAAAAAAGACTTTCCATGGCCAGCCCCACAGCAAAGGGTTTCTTAAGAGTTGACAAGACATGGGGCGCCTGGGTGCCTCAGTTGGTTAAGCATCTGCCTTCAGCTCAGGTCATGATCTCAGGGTCCTGGGATCGAGCCCTGCGGTGAGCCCTATGTTGGGCTCACAGGGAGCCTGCTTCTCCCTCTTGCTCTGCCCTTCCCCCACTCCTCATGCCCTCTCCCTCAAATAAATAAATAAATAAAATCTTAAAGAAAAAGTTGACAAGACATTAGCACACAGACCGGTGAGTGAACTCCTGCCAGGCTTCTCTCTTACATCTGGAGGCTCCAGTACCTCAACGTATATGAGCTGATACCAAGGGACCTGTGACCTCCGTGCTATCCAGGAACTGTCAACATGCTTCTATGGTAACAGTTATAACTGAGTTTCTCCCCTGAAAGGCACTGTGCTTTCTCACTTTTATAACTTAAGCTAGAAATCTCAGGAGTGGATTTCATCACGTTTCCACCAAGAATGTACACTTACCTGCCTTAGCATCCCCTTTTCTCCCTCTTCCCACCCTTATAGAGGAGAGAGCATTCATTTTCCTAAAGAAGGCAAACCCCCAGTTGGCTTCTGGATCCCACACACCCCTGACTTCTTCAGCTTCCCCCTCTCCAAATAACTCCCACTTACCCTTGCGCTAGTGTTTTCTGTCATAAACTAATCTTTCCCCTGACACTACACACTGCCTCATTGGCTAACACCCCAGTTTTTATGCTCCTCATCCCAGCTTTAGGTCTTGAAGGGCAGTGTCTCCCGATCTTCCCCACCTCTTCTTTCCCACCAATCTAAGGTCTGCCCTACATTGTGTCTGGTGTCTGGTGTCACTGACCATTGAACCTGCCCTGCTCAGAGTCACTAATGAGATCTATTTGGCCAAATTCTGAATTTACTCATCTTCTCAGTGGCTTTTGGCCCAGATACTCCTTCTCTCTTCTGTTAGCCCTCTCGTCTGTGGGCTTCCATGATGCCCCATTCTCCTGTTTCCCTCTAGCTTCATGGCTTCTCCTCGTCATTCTTCTTTGCTGCCTCCTTTTCCTCTAAATATTGGTGTTCTTAAGGTCCGGGTCCTCTGCTCTCTCCTCATCCCTCCCTAAATTATGTCGTCCTTTGCTTTAAATACCATCTCCAGGCAGGGGACTACTAGGGTTATGTCTCCAGCTCCGTCTTCTCTTCTGAACTCCAGACTCATCCCATGGCCTTAATTTCTCAAACTGAATGCTGAAATCACACCCCTTCCCCACTAAAAATAACTTCCCCTTTAGCCTATATTCCTCTTCATCGTAGTATATAAGTAGTTCATTCATTCATTCATTCATTCATTCATTCATTTCTTAAGCCAGAAACCTCAGGGTCATTTTTGATTCCTCCCTTTCATACCCTCATTTCAGTCCAGCAGCAAGTTCTATTGGCTACCCAACAAATATTAGATATCTAGTAAATATATGCTGGATGAATGACTGTATGAGCCCAACAGAGAAGGGTAATCAAATTTAAGATTAAACTTAAAATCTGGTAGAGGAGGGATTCAGGGCTGTGCACACAGGGCATGCAAAATGTCTGCAGGTCCCTTTATTTCCTAGATGAGCCATAACGACCCTGGGCCCTGGATTTCATCCTTAAACATATACAGTGTTACCTCATGAGACTTCTCTTTAGGCAGGTGGTACCCAGAACAACCCTAAAATTCACAGGTACGACACAGGCCTTCTCAGTACTGGGTTATCAAATCACATAATGTGGCCAAAAAGCAGGACAAGTGAAATCCTCACTCCCTCTGTTCTTTAGATACACATATGTGCACAGGTACTTATATACAGAAACACGTGATAGAAACTCCTCACCTGGTAGCATTCTAGATAGAATTTAGTCCCAGGAAACAACAGTTTTGTCTTTGGCATGTAAATGATGCATGCCTCCATTTCTGCATGGAACATACACTGAGAGAGGATCACCATTCTATAAGCTGGCAGATACCCTCACCGAGTCCTAGGGGTCCGCAGTGAGCTCCACGGCAGGCCTTTTGTGCCTTCCTTACGAAGATGTTGGCCATTCCATCAAGCCAAGAGAAGGGTGAGAGCTTTCTTCAGCTAGCTTTTTCTACCAGCAACATTTAACTGTAAGGGCTTGATATCTAATAGCAATGCAAACCGTGCTCCCGTGCTTTAAGTCCGTATTTGGCCAAGCTAGCAGCTGTTTTATCCATTCTGCAGTATATCCCCAGAAGTGCGAAGCGAAACAAAGCACACTCTAGATCTTGAAAACTCCCAGAAATGTCCTCTCAAATGCAGTCCTGTTTGGGCCCCCCGACAAACCTGTCTCCTCTTAGACAATCTTACTATTATCAGCAAGAGGTTGCTCATATGCTTTATGCTGTAGCAGCACTTCCCAAAATCTAGTCCATGAAATGCTGGGTCCATGAGCTGTCCCAGGGAAAAGGGTGTGCCATGGTCAAGTAAATTTGGGAAATGCTGCATGCAGGCACTTTCCCCTTCCATATCTTTTCAGTGTAGCCATTTGCACACCCCTATACATTTAACTAAGGCATTATGGTGTTAAACTGGTAAACCCAGAACAGCTCTTCCTAGCTTCATCTCAATTCCTACCTTCTAGTGATTCAGCAGTGTGGCAAATTCAATGACAGCAGGTGGGTCAGCCAATTCATCCTTGGAAGACTTTCTAGTGACTGATCACTGGGATAGTTTCCTCAGAGATGAACTATCCCGGGAAGCTATAGACATCTCTTCTTCTTCCCTACAGTTGAAACCAAAGCGAAGTCTCCCTCTAACACCTACTTTCTTCACCTGAGCTACAAGTGGGATAGAAAAATAGAATGGTCCTCATGACATCTTTGATATAACCAAGGGGTAGGACGTGTCCTACCTGCAAGACTGTATGATTAAGGAAGCTCCTAAATATGGCTAACAAAACTCTTTTTCTAAGACTCAGTAGCTTGGAAAAGCTTCCCAGTGATAGGTGTCGTCAGGCAATCCATTTTCAGAGAAATGTCACTTCCTGCTATGTAATGGGATTTTTTTTTTTTTAATCTTCTGGATCATCACTAAGTGTGTTATTAGGTAAATCAAGTTCTTGGTAATATGGTGTTACTGCCTGTTGAGTATTTGCTTGTGAAAAATATTTTTAATAACATATGTTTTTCTGCTTACAGAAATAATACTTGTTTATCGTAGAAGGTTTGGAAATTTTGGAAAAGTAAAAGAAAATCACAGTCACCCCAAATCACATCTTCTAGAAATAACTACCATTCATAATATGGTATATTTTCCTCCAAGTATATAAATAACATATAATAAAACATATCTATATATGTGGAATCATAAGGGAGAGAGTCCATAGATAGTTGGAGGAAGGGGGGGAAGAAAAGAAAGGGAAGGTCTGTTTGGCTTTCATATATTTGTAGATCAGATGAGTGCTTCTCAAACATGTCCATCTGTCTGATCAATGTTGATGGCCCGCTGCCTCCGCCCCTCGCGGTTAATCATTACTGATTTGCAGTCACCTGGAACAGAGGCAGGAGTCCACTGCTGAACGACCATCCCATGTCTTTGAGCCTGGGGCCCTTGTTGATACAGCCCTAAGAGATCATGTGGTCTGTTGATTTCTAAAATTTGTATTTAGCAAAGAACGCTTTTTCATATGACTCTTTAAGCAGAACCCTGATACATGACTGACTGAGCATATTTGTTTAAGGCAAAACACGGTTCAAACCTGTGTTCTGGAATCACAGAATCCTCACTCACCCCAGCTAGGGCAGCCCCAAGATGCTAAGGAGGACCCTTAAGCCTGTGGGGACCATGGTGAAAAAAATATGAACTTGATCCTTTATTTTATTTTTAAAGATTTTATTTATTTGAGAGAGAGCACAGCAGGGACAGGGGGAGAGGGAGAAATAGACTCCCCACTGAGCCCAACGCGGGACTCCATGCCAGGACCCTGAGATCATATACCTGAGCTGAAGGCAGACGCTTAAGTGACCGAGCCCCCCAGGCACCCCAGTGAGGGGATTGGAACCCAGGACCACTGGGCCTGGTGCTTCTTCCGCTGTTTCGTGGCCCTGAGGGTTTCCTTCCAGGGCCTGGGAGACCCTTACGCCATCCACCCCCTGCATGGGTTATATATGGAGCATGGGATCCCTGACCAGCCTCTTAGCATAATTTCACTAGTCGTTGGAGCGAGACACGTCTTGATAACTTGATAACTAATGTTGCTGTGTTTGGGTGAGTGTTTAGCATGGTACATTTTTGAAAGCATTCACGACCATGTCCTCCCGTCTCATGACAAGCAGAGTATCTTCGAAGCATATCCTTGCCTGTGCCTGTCCTGGTGGGGGACACAAGCAGCAGCGGCGAGTACGGCTCTGTTTCTCCCGATGCGGAGTTAAAAGTGGACCCCTTCTCTTTCAAAACGAGAGCCAAGTCCTGCGGAGAAAGAGACGTGAAAGGAATACGGACACTCTTTTTGGGGTAAAGACCTGACCAACTTTGGGTGAAAGAAGTGTGTTGTGTGTCCTTTTAGAAAGGACGGTGCAATTTATGCTGTCTAAATTCTTCCAGCATTCCAGATGAAAATTTTGAAGACCACAGCGCTCCGCCTTCCCCTGAAGAAAAAGATTCTGGATTCTTTATGCTGAGGAAGGACAGTGAGAGACGGGCCACCCTTCACAGGATCCTGACGGAAGACCAAGACAAAGTTGTGAGAAACTTAATGGAATCTTTGGCTCAGGTATAACCTCTCATGGATACTTCGTTTCCCAGAGCTGACGTATCTTACCTGTGTCTTAACCCCTTGGCGCTGTCACAGGCGACGTGGAGGCTTGAGGAAGCGGTAGAGTTCTTGATGATGAATCACACCTATCCAGCAGAGGAAAAAGGGCAAATCCCTGACGTAGAAACCGCATTTTTGAACATAGCTATTTGTGAGTCACAACTTTTTCATGGTGGCCAAGTCCAACTGGCCTGCAAGCTCCTTTTACCCTTCATTCGTTTGTTTATTGATTCGATCAACACTTACCCATTGGGCCACGTGACTTCCTAATTCCAATGGTAGCACAAGGCTCCCTGCCAGTCTCCTCTGAGCATTTAGGAAATATTGCAAACACAACAAGGACCCACCCCCGTGCTCATGGGGCTACATGCAGACGGACGGAGGGTGATGGGCAATAATAAGTAAATTATATAGTGTGTCGGAAGGCTGTGTGGGCTGTGAAAAAACAAAGCTGGTCAAACTCTCACTCCCCGGTATATTCGTTTGCTGGGCCTGCCATAACAGAATCCCACCGGCTGAGTAGCTCAAACAACAGAAATTTATTTCTCACAGTTCTGGAGGCAGAAGGTCTAAGAGCAAGATGTCGGCAGGTTTGGTTTCTCCTGAGGACTCTCTCCTTGGCTTGTAGATGGCACCCCTTGGCACGTCCTCACCCAGCTTTTATCCCTGTGCACCCTGGAGGGTGTCCCTTCCCCTCCTTATAAGAACAGTAGCCCTGCTGGATTAGGGCCCCACTGTTGTGATCTCACTTAACCTTAATTACCTCCTAAAACCCTTTCTCCACCTACAGTCACATTGGAGGTTAGGGCTTCTGATTGGGGTTGGGGGGCGGGGACACCATTCAGTCCATAATACCTGGGAAAATATGTTCCCTAGGATCCTGCTTACAGATCTGAGGAAGAATCCCCTCCCCAGTTCTGCCCCAGTACAAATGGGGTTTCCCCCAGCTCCAGGCCTCCAGTGCTGCCTCCTGTGTTTGGAGCAGATGCTCACGTCTCTTAAGGATATCAGCCTCCACAGACATGCTTGGCCCCCGGCACGATACCTGTTACTTCCTTTCGGTGACATGGGCATCAGGGACTTGTCTGCTCGGGCTCCTGTGGCCGCCAGCCGCCCTCCCTGCCTAGGCCTTCTTTCCTACCTTCTGTCTTGAGAAAACAGCTGCGAAAAGGGTTGAGCTAAGGCGCCTGGGTGGCTCAGTCGTTGAGCCTCTACCTTCGGCTCAGGTCATGGTTCCAGGGTCCTGGGATCGAGCCCCGAATCAGGCTCCCTGCTCGGCGGGGAACCTGCTTCTCCCTCTCCCACTCCCTCTGCTTGTGTTCCTCTCTCGCTATCTCTCTCTCTCTGTCAAATAAATAAAAATAAAATCTTAAAAAAAGAAAAAGGTGGGTCTAGAGGAGTTGGGTCAAGTTTGTCTCTCAGTCCAACCTTCTCCCTGTTCTCAGCTGTGCTGGGATATAAACAGGGCAAGACTCTCCTTCTTGGCTCTTGTCTTTATCTTGAGAACCCCAGAAAGTTTCTCCACTGATTCTGTCACCCTAGCAACTCTCTAATGCCCACCTCTTTTGATCCCGTAGGAAGAGTCAAAGGCCACATGTGTGCCAGCAGGGTCTCTGGTACGAGGAGAACTGAGACGAGCACCAGCTTCACTTTCTGGGAAGACCCTGCGTGGGTCCTAGAGGAAAGCTGCCTCAAGCAGTTCCTTAAGGGCCAGGAAGTGGGGGCTCCAGGCTGAGGGACAGCCGGGGCTCTGAGCTGGGGTAGGGCGAGTGCAGAGGGTGCTGCACAGGAATGGTGGGAGATGTGGAGGAGACGGGAGCAATTATGAACCTTCAGCTTCCTCTCTTCTCTTTCCCTCTGCTTACTCTGGTCATTCAAGGACTGGGGATCGGATGGTGTGAAATAAAGAAGGGGAACCAAACTTAGATGGAAGGAGCATCTGGGCAGCAGTTGGAGGTCGTACATTCATTCAACAAAACCCGTCTGTGTGCTGTGGACATTCAGTGAACAAAACTGGGAAAAAGAAATATCGCCCTGAAGCTGGCATTCTAGCAGAGGAAGAAAAACAATGAATATTAGTAAATATTTAGGAGTAGTAGTGGTATATACAATGGCATAATAGTAATAGCAAACATAGTCAACATATACTAATAGTAGCGGACACTCTGTATGGGCCAGGTATTGTTCTTAGTATTTCATGTGTATTGACTCACTCGAGCCTCATGGCAATAGAACTGTAGTAATAGTTCTAGTGTGCTCATTTTGCACACGAGGACACAGAGGCACAGAGGAGGTGAGTAACTTGTCGGGGCCACACAGCCCGAAGCGGCGGAGTCAGGATTTAGACCCAGATAGTCTGGCTTCGGGATCTGTGCTCCTAAGCACCACCCCGCTCTCCTCCCTGGGTGACAGCTCCCAGATGGTGACAAGGGCTGGTGGAAACAGGGGAGGGGCTGCTGCTGGCCATGGAGGAAGGAAAGGAAATCGCCATTAGCTGCTGCGGAGCGAAGGCTTCTCCAAACTGTGGCTGCTAGTGTGAGATGCCTGTTTCAGGTCAGAGACACGCAGGACGCAGGGATTGCCTGAATCTCATAATCATCCCAAGGGACAAACTCTTCCAGGGCAGAAAGCATCTGCTTGTTTGGGGTTTTTGAAGGTCCGTCCAGCAGGACTGCCTTTGTCATGGTCATGGCACCGAGCCTGGCAGGAGACTTCACTTCCATGAGTGGGCTGAAATTCTTACATTTCGCAGTTGGTTAATCCTATTCAGTTGTCTGTGGCTTCCTGGTTTTTTCAGCACACCTGAATGTTCTCTATAAAAGGAGAAAGAAAAAACAATCTTAAAAGCAGTCATCAGAGGGCATGCCTTGGTGCACCAGCACGAAGGGACCAGTGAGGACCAGAAACTGGATCAGAATCACATGCTGAATCCCAAATCATCCACTGATAGCAAGGGTCCTTCTGATTGTATTGCTAAGGATACTGTGAATCCCTTGCTGTGACATCACATGGTGGCCTGGTGGGAGAGCAGGTTCCGATCCAGGCTCACTGCTGGCTCTTCCAGCCGATTGAGGCAAGAGAATGCAATGATCAGGAGCCTGGGCTCAGCCTCAGCTTGCCGCTCTCTGCCCAAGGCCTGGCATTACCATTTAACAGGCTGTGCAATTTAGGCAAGTTACTTAAAGTCTCTGAGGCTGAATTTCCTAATCTATGAAATAGAGGAAACGCCAGCATCTACCTCATGGAGTTTCTATAGGGAATAACTGAGATCATGAGCAACTGAGAGACTAATAGAGTGTTTCACAAATGTTAACTATTATTATTGTTGTTGTGACCATTATCAAGCAGGCTAATCATAGTTGTCTAATCTCTTAAGTTCTTTTCTACAACTAGATGGAAGTCATTCTTTAAGTAATCCTTTAAGTTTTTTCCACAGCCGGATGGAAGTAATTCTTTTTGTTGTATTAAGTATCTCTGGATACATCTTTACATTAAAACCCACCCCCTTTTTTAAGGGGGGAGGGGCAAAGGGAGAGCGAGAGAGAGAATCTCAATCAGGCTCTACACCCAGCGCAGAGCCCATTGCAGGACTCGATCTCATGACCCTGAGATCATGACCTGAGCTGAAATCAAGAGTTAGGCACTTAACCAACTGAGCCACCAGGTGCCCAAGCCTACCCTTTTTAAACAAGACCAAAAGTGCAGATGGTGGTCAGGTCCCCAAACCAGCCCACAGAAACCCTTTGGACCAGTAACATCCTTCTGAAGTTCACTCATCATTTTTGAGGAAGTTTAAAGGATAAAGAATAGAGAGCACCTTTGCAGGAGAATCTGGATGGTGCTCTGCTCAGGAGAGGCGCACTGTCAAATGCACCCTTCGGATGCTGAATCAGACTCCCTGACACTGGAGATGCTCATTTGTGTAAGCACGTTCATGCGTGCACATGGACACAGGGATTCGAACAGAAGTAACGGTCATGTAAGTGAATGAACTGCCCCAGACAGAAAACATTTCCGAGCAGACAGCGTTCCTTTGTAGCACAGTGGCCCACACATCAAAAAGCCCGAAGCAACATGTTCCTCTGTTGTGAAAACAAAGCTAATGTCAAAAAAAATGTTTGCTGTTTCAACTGCTGGCAAACATGTAGCTGATTTTTCACTAAGATAAGCTTCCAACTTCTGAATAACTCACATTTTTTTTCTTGAACATATTTTCATGTTATTATGATATTGCCTGTGAATCTTTACTTTGGGTGTAATTTAGTTGGTGGTAAGAAAAGAAACAAAGTTTATAATTGTTCCCAGTCTCGTTTTAATTCCCTTAATGACAGCTTTCAAGCTTTTCAATATAATCTTGTCTCATGAAAACACAAACATGAGAGGGAGTTCCCAAATGAAACCATACAGAGGGAGAGAACTTGGTGGTACATTGATTGTAATAGAATCCTAGAAACTGTAATTATCACAGCCTGATTGAGGAATTTAATTTTAATGATGCGGTAACAAAATGTACAATAGGAAATAGAAATGAGCATAATAAAAATCTCGTTTCCTAAAGTTAAATGAGGATAAATGACACCCTACCACATTCCTTACACAAAGTAGAAGAATTCAGCTTGAGAAAGGGAACCTGTTTCAATATTATTATTATATTTTTAGTATATAAACTTGTCCATCGGTTCATTCTTACAACGAATTACCTCATCGGTGTGTAAGGCAGTGTTTCTAGGATGGATTCTGAAGTGAGCCCCTTTTGATTGAAAGGCATTGACACACTTTAAGGGCAGTCGAAGTTCTGGGGGCACCTTGGAGATGGCCTCACTTACCTGAAGGAGGTAGGGTCTTAAGGAATTCCAGCCATAGTGCCGAGCCGAGCCCCACAGAGACTGAAACTTGTGTGGGATTCTGATTACTTCATGTTCCAGTAGTTTGTACACGTCTTCTCAGCTTTGGCTGTTAATGACCCCCTTGGCGTGCCATTTCCATTTCCATCCATTTCCTTCTCCTCTCCATGTAGATGGTCGTTCTCAATCCCATTGCTTCTGCTCTCCCTTCCTTACAGCTAGAGGTACTCTTGCTGCTATTTTGTGACTTGTCTCTCTGGGCTGACTTTGAGCTTAAGATCCTATGGCTCATTGCCTGATCTCTCTTTAGTTCCCCATTAAAATTTCTGAGTGGGGGGCGCCTGGGTGGCTCAGTTGGTTAAGCGGCTGCCTTCAGCTCAGGTCATGATCCCGGGGTCATAGGATCGAGCCCCGCATCGGGCTCCATGCTCAGCGGGAAGCCTGCTTCTCCCTCTCCCACTCCCCCTACTTGTGTTCCCTCTCTCCTGTCTCTCTCTCTCTCAAATAAATAAATAAAATCTTTTAAAAAAAAATTTCTGAGTGGTATTGCCTCAGCCTGTCCGTGTTTGGGGAAAGCTCTGTATATCTGACTAAATCATAGCTATTGGCTGACATGTGGGGTAGGTACCCTTCCTCCCAAAGTCTGATTATTTCTTGGGTGGTTGGTGGGGCTAGTGGGGCATAGAGTTCCAATATGGCCTTTTCCCTCGGGGGGGAGGCGCTTTGAAGCCCAGTTCCCAACAGGGGCTGTGGCAATGGCAGGCTCGTGATGAATGTGTCTAGCACAGATCAACTGACAGGTTTTATTCACAGGGGGCCGAAGAACCTAAACTAAAATGGGAACATATCACAACCCTCATTGCAAGCCTCAGAGAATTTGTGAGATCCACGGACCGAAAAATCATCGCCACCACACTGTCCAAGCTGAAGCTAGAACTTGACTTCGACAGCCACGGCATTAGCCAAGTCCAGGTGGTGCTCTTCAGTTTTCAAGATGCTGTAAGTATGATCTTTTGCCAATGTTTTTCCACAAACGTCCAACCAAAATTGGAAAAACAGGATAAAACATAAGTTCCGTTATCTTTTCTTTCTTTAATAATCCCGATGACCTCTTTTTTTCCGATGGTAAATAAGTGTGAGCTGGTTGCCTCTCTGTGTGCTTCTAAGGAGCAGATTTGTTGTTATGTGTTTGTATCCCCCAAAGTTAGATACCCATGAAATCGAACCCTGAGGGAAATAGCAAAACTAACAAACATCTCCCATGGCTGAACTCTGTTCTTATGAAATCATGTAGCAGGTCACTATTTTGGTGACTTTAGCCACTCATCTCAGTCGTGCACTTCCTAATTCTGTATGAGAACTGCCATCTAGTGGTCATCGAGGAAAATGCAACCGTGCAGATTGGAATGATCGCCGCTGAATAAAATCAACACTTCTTTTTTCCCCACTTTTTCTCTGGTTTCCATATGCAGCACTTTAAACATGTTTGTTTAATACACATTAATTCATCACTGAATGAAAATTAGTCCACGAGAGATTGCTAAAGGCTCCGTCCTCTCAAATGGAGTTGCTATGCAACACCAAGTAGAAGCCAGTCTTTCAAAAGCCTGATTCAACCCAGTAGGTGCTCTTCATGAGGGAGACTCACCTGTGGAACTCTGTACCAGAAAAGCCTGAAGCCACTCCTAGAAGGCCTTCGCAGGATGCGGGAGCCTGAAATAAGAGAGTTCCTGGCAGTGCCTCTGGTGTAAATATGAAAGCACTTTGCACGATGGTATTTAAATTCCCCAAATTAACTCACTGCTAATGTATTTATTTCTCCTGCATAGATGTCTTGACAATTGTATTTGGTGCATCAAATGATCCCTCCTTTAAAACCAAATTACAATCCCTCAACAGCCACTTGTGTACCCTGAAACTCTCTGTAAGCCCCTTGGTCCTTGTGCTGTACTGTGTGCAGGAATAAGCAACTGGAACTCCAGCTCTGGGCGTGGGATTGCAGCTAGGTCCCCTTGTCCCTTGCTTCTTCTAAATTCTTGGGTCAGAGCCCAGACCTTTTCTTGGACGGTCGTGTCAACCGGCAGTTAGTGGAGTTAACCCAAATTTTAAATAAGTTTTTCTTGCCTTTATGATAATGGTTATTTTTTTTTTAAGATTTTATTTGTTTATTTGACAGAGAGAGACGCAGCGAGAGAGGGAACACAAGCAGGGGGAGTGGGAGAGGGAGAAGCAGGCTTCCCGTGGAGCAGGGAGCTCGATGCGGGGCTCGATCCCAGGACCCCGGGATCATGACCTGAGCCGAAGGCAGACGCTTAAAGACTGAGCCACCCAGGCGCCCCAATAATGGTTATTTTTAAAAAGATAACGCATATGGCTTATACCGACAGTGGGATACTATTCACCCTTGAAAAAGAAGGGAGTTCTCACACATTATACTAAGTGAAATAAGCCCATCACAAAAATACCATGTGATTCCACTTACATGAGAGACCCAGAGGAGTCATATTCATAGAGATGGGAAGTAGAATGGTGGTCACCAGGGGCTGGGAGCGGAAGGCAGTGGGAAGTTATTGTTTAATGGGTGTAGAGTTTCAGTTTTGCAAGATGAGAAGAATTCTGGAGATGGATGGTGGTGATGGTTGCACAATAGTGTGAACGTACTTAACGCCACCGAACTAAATACTTAAAAGTGGTTAAGGTGGCAGATTTTATGGTATGGGTATTTGACCACAATTTTTAGAAAAAGGTAATGCATGTATCCATTTCCGTGTCTATTTAAATGTGTGAAATGGTGACTAAAAAAAGATACCCTTATAACACAGACTTTCAGTGTGAACATCCTTTCTGGAATATTCCAGCAGGTTCCTCCTCTGTTTGCCGAGATATAAACAACGGTGGGAAGGAAGATAAGGCACGTGCTGTGGCAAATCTGTAGGTGGCACACACATGCTCATTTCCTCCCTTACCTGCTTTTCCAAGTCACCAGACTAAGCTGAAGCACGTGGTTGTGTTAAACCTCAGAATCACAACACCAGAGACCAGGGTTTATTTTTATTTCAAACCCCTCAGATTCTTTTTTCCTCCTTTACCACCTCCATCATCCAGTTTGCAAACGCCATGAAAAGTGGAAGTAGCTTGTTCTGAGTCCCAAAGAAGCCACATTTCATTTAACCAGACTGCCTTTGATTTGCTCACATGGGGAATCACCAGACTTTAATCTGAAGCGGCCGTTTTTCATTGTTTCCCAGCAACGTAAAGAAATTATTCACAATTCAAGGTGAAGAAACCTTTTAGTTGTTTCTGTTGATAGAATGTCATCCACTAGATGCTTGTGTCATCTAGGTTATTTGCAATTAAACATTAAAATAGACTAAATGTCACCCTCTTTCTCCAGGTCAATAAAGTTCTTCGGAATCATAATATCAAACCACACTGGATGTTTGCCTTAGACAGTATCATCCGAAAGGCGGTGCAGACGGCCATTACCATTCTGGTTCCAGGTCAGAAATATTTAATTACTTCACCAATATTTAGTGTTTGACATTTTAAATTACTGTTGATTTCTCATTTATGGTGTCTTCCTTACTGCCTTTCAGACCAAGTTAGCCCTTTTGTTAAACTGTTTGAAGCCACCAAATAATATTTATCTAGTGCATCTAGTCCACGCGAGGTACACCAAGCCAAATGTTTACTATGGGTGAGGAAGACTGCTTCCTTGTCTTTAAAGAGCGTATTTGGATATGGAGAGAAAGAGAAAATTATGCAGGTGACCCAAATACATATGCATTTCAATATACTCTTGTGTCATCTTTTACTGGTGGTTCCCAAACCGGCCAGTGCATTGAGGGATGTCAGGAGCTCTTTAAAATTATAGCTCACCAAGCCCCATCCCAGACTGAGTGAGTAAGAATCTGCTGGGAAAAAGCCCAGGAATCTGATTTTAATCCAGCTCCCAGGTCATTTTGATCCACAGCCAGGTTTGGAAATCACTGGTCTAGACAGATCCCAGCTATGTTTGCAGTGAGGTACAAAAGGGGTAGTGTTGATGAAACAGAGTTTTATGGAGTGAGAGACACATTCATCCTCTAAGGCAAACTTCCAAAGTACTTTTGATAGTGTAGTCACCAATAAAAAATTTTAAGCGAAGCTCTTCCATCCTATATGTGTGTGGGGGAGGGTGTGTGTGTGTGTGTGTGTGTGTAGAGATGATAGGTAGATAAACAGATTTAGATACATAAATTAGAAATATGTTATACTAATTTATACATGTATTATAAAGCGGTCTAAAATAGAAATTTAAAATGATTGGATAATGAAGTATCTTAAAATTTAGGATATTTACAAATGGTACCACAAACTTAAGTCATCACCAGGCCATCTGAGTTGTGGAATTCCCTCTCTTCTCTCAGAATACCTTGTTTGATTTGAGAGTGAGGGCACCCGTGTCAAACTTTATACGAAACCTCAGTAAAGATGAATTTATTTCCTTCTTCTGTAAGAAAGAAATATGGGAAGTTCTAATATCCCCGAACATGCTGATCCTCTATGCGGGGCACACCTCCACCCCTCATCCCTCTTGCCCTGTTCCTTTGCATTCTTCGGGTCTTGGTTTAAAAAATGTCTTCTCAGAGTCCTGACCCACCACGAAGTCTAAAATAGGCTCCACCACTATTCTGTCTCCTTGGATATGGTTTTTTCCCCATTTGTGATGCTTGCTCCACAATTTGAAGCTACCTTGATTTTCTTGTCTCGTGGCCGTTACCCTCACCAGAGGGTAACTGTGTCTGCTTTATTCCGTGCTGAGTATATTGTCCAGCACAGTGCCTATAAAACAGTGGACCCCTGATAAATATTAGCTGAAGCAATACATAAATGAGTTTTACCTGATTACAACAAATGAGGGTAGAAAATTTGCATAACTTAGAAAAAATTCTACAGAGGCACTGAAACACGTAATTAGCGGTTGGATGTGAACCTAGGGAGAGTAATGCTAGTGTAAACCTAATGTAATGCTCTAACCAAGGTAACGGATTCTTGTGTTTGGGGGATATATCACCGGGATAAGCTTGGATGTGAGGAATGTACCCTAGGAGGGTTATATATTCAAAAGAGATTAGGGGTGAAAGGGAATAGGTGTGTATTGGTGAAAAGGATAGATGTAGGCATAAATTAAACACAGTAGCAACCTAAATGAGCGAGGGAGAGAGGGATTATACTTTGAAATATTTAAATAGCATATAAATGATCTGTTAATCTAATTTTTAAAACTTCCCTCTAAAAATGAAATACCTAAATGCAATGGATTATATCCTGGAATAGAAAAAAAAAATCAGTGAAAAACTTGTGTAATCTGAATAAAGTCTGTAGTTTAGTTAATCGTATTGTACCACTGTTAATTTCTTAGTTTTGATGAGTATACCAGTTATATAAGATGTATTGAGGGAACTGGAAGGTATATGGGAATTCTCTGTATGACCTTTGCGATGTTACTGTAAATGTAATATTCTTCCCAAATCGGAAGTTTAGAAAGCACACTGATCATCACACCATAGTTGAAACACTGGTAAGTTTAGGGAGAGTGCAGAGAGGCACATCTTCCGCTTGGGTGGGGGTCCCGTTGGTGGGGGGTAAGCACTGCTTTCACCCAACCCATGTGTGGAACAAGGCATGTTCTTTATGAAGATGGTTTGCTAAGGAAAGCCATTTGTCCTTTCACTGTGAAATTGGTTTCTTTGAGGCCATTAGGAGTCTCAGATGAAAAACCCAAATTACTGTTTGCAAGCATTTTTTTTAAGTAGAAAATTAGTGGAGAAAGTATCTTTTATATTCCTCCTAGGATAGGGGAAGACCGTATGCATTTGTATACCAATATATAAATGATGAAATGTGCAAACAAGAGGAATGGATTTCAAGCACTTGAGAGTTCCATCTAATTTCTGAATGTCCCTAAAGATATGATTGAGATTCAAAGAAACTTAAACCTTCAAACAAGCATTAAAAATGCCTGTCTTCATCTTCCCCTGATAAAAATTCCTTCTAGGTGACAAAACACTACAATTAGCCTACCAAATTTTGAAAGACACGCAAAAGAAAACCACAAATTTAAAAGTATGCCAACAGCAGTGCATACATGTCCTAGGTCTGTCCGCAGAGAGGACCTAGATCTTAGTATCTAAACACCATCCTCCAATAAAAGGAATCAGTGCTCCCTGGAAAGATGGTTGATTCCAGGCCTGGGGCAGGGAAAATACACATGAGCCTAGAACATCCTGTGATGCCAAAAAAGATGGAGGCTTTTTGAAAGGACACTGGAGATCACACCCATTTGAAGGAGTTCCCAAAAATCTAAGCCAAAACAATTTGGGCAATAAAATAAAATAATGATAGCCTTGGGTTATAGTACATAGAATAAACTAAATATCTGTAAGTCTATATTGATATAAATAATTGAATAAATAAGTATATGGAGGAGAAGAGCCAGGTCTTTGTTATAGAATTCCAGTTAATAAATGTAAAAGGTATGAGGGAAATAGACAAGCACCATTAGGCAAACACCACAGTAATAATTATTGCAGGCAAGAAGCATCGATGGCTGCTAAAATTGGTAAGCAAAAGAGTAACGAGAAACAGGATATTTGAATGGCTGCACAGTATCTGCCCACAAGATATTTACTAATCTCAAAGGGAAAACAGTGACTTTACAGTGGAGGAAACTGGCAGACACCTCCTGTACCAAATGATCAAGGTAAGCATCGCTAGGAATAAGACACATCAGCATCCTGTACCTCCTGATATGATTCATTTAGTAGTGCACAACATCGCCTTTGTGCTATTCTTGCCAAAAATGCATAGCCTCAACCTCATCATGACAAGACATTGGTGAATGCCAAATGAGGGTCATAGTACAAAATAACTGACCAATACTCCTCGAAAGTGTAGAGGTCGTGGGAGACAAAGAAATACCTGGGTACTGTCTCAGTCTGGAAGAGACTAAGGAGACATGATAACCAAATGCAGTGTGGGATTCTGGTTCAGAACAAGGGCATCAGAAGTGCCTGGGTGGATCAGTCAGTTAAGCATCTGCCTTTGGCTCTGGGCATAATCCTGGGGTCCTGGATCCAGCCCCACGTAGGGCTTCCTGCTCAGCGGGAAGCCTGCTTCTCCCTCTGCCTGCCACTCCCCCTGCTTGTGTGCTCTCTCTCTCTGTCAAATAAATAAAATCTTAAAATAAAAAAGAACAAGGGCATCAGTGGGAAACCTGGTGAAATTCAACAAGGTTTGTAGATTACTTAGTGTTATGGTAGCAAAGTTAATTTCCCCGGGTTGGGTCCTAGCGCCACAGTTGTATAAGATGTCAAGTTTAGGGCAAGCCGCTGAAGGGTATATAGGAACTCTCTGTGCCATTTTTGCAACTTTTTGTTATTCTGCCATTATTTCAAAAATAAAAAGTAAAAAATTAAAAAGTGTTCAATCTTTCTCCCAAAAAGAACACACAGAACACAGAGTACAGTGCAAGCCCCTTAAGAGTTTTTTTTCCTCAGGTTCTTTTCTCACTTGTCATCAGGAATCAGCTTTGCCCTGATTGGCAACACTGAATATCTGTTGTTACAGTCTGGCTGTGGGTAACCAGATGGAGAAATGCTGAGCATAGAGACCATGTTGGCAGTGCCAAGAGAGAATTGATAATGTAGGCATACTGACTACATTAGCAATAATTTTTAATGCTAAAGCACTTGATATTATTACCAGTTCAGCTGAACTACTCATGTGCCTGGTGTCCACATTAAAGTAAAATGACCAGCATTCTGTACCATCTGAGCTTAAGGCAGGAGTCATACACTACACTGACAAGGATTGTGATCTTTGGTATCAGAAATACCCTGTGTTAAAGAAGCTGGGTCTGGTTATTTCCCTCTGGGGAAAGAACTAGTTGGGGTGGTGGCTGGGGGTAGGGAAGTGGGAATAGTATTGTTGTTTGATTCCATCTTGCTGTATTAGAAACAGGCACCAGCTCTCAATTCCCACACATGGGCTTAAATACTACCCGCTCATTACAGCTCCCCCCTCCAACCCCCAGGTCCCTGGTTTTCTCCTGACACTTGGCTCTCTCCTGACAGTCCGTTCTGCCTTCCATTCTTCTCAGGGGGCTCTGGACCATCATTTGAACTTCCTTCTCTCAAATGCCTCTGCCCCTTTCCCCACAAGCAAGGTGTTCCCCTCCTCCAGAATCCTGCTTAGGCTCTTCTGCTTCCATGAATCAATCCATGAGTAAACCACTACTGAATTTAGTTATTGCAAATGTGCTTTATTTACCTCTTAGCATTCTTAATACATGCACACATGAATTACATATGAACTAGATCTATAACTGAGATCATCTAAGATATTTTTAGCTGCATTAATTTGTGCTTATAATTTCATGTCATCTTTGTACCTGCTCTTCTGTCTCTACTGTATATTCCTTCTAGCTCTCCTCTAGGTTGTTACCTCTTTGAGGACAAAGACCAGATGCTCCATCTCACTTGCATATTTTACAGTGTGTAATTTGATGATGGGAGCCACCACAAAAGACCAAAATAACAAAGTATTGCATTTGCTTACAATTTTCTACTTTCTTCAAATTATTTGAGAGAATTTTTCAGTCGTTTATACATACATAAAATGCTAAAGTATACAGCGTTAGGGCTATGTAAGGGGGTATTTAAATATAATAATAAATATCAGAAAGTTTGCCTCCCCAAAAGTGAGATGATAGTCAACAGCACAACAAAACTTTTTAATTGTTTTGAAAATTTCAGTTTGGATACCATAAAAGAAATTGAAGAATAATTTTAAAAATTATAAAAGGCCTAAGCTTATATTCTAACTTAAGCTAGAACAGCACTTCCTTAAATTATTTTTTCTTGTTTTTTTTTTAAGATTCATTTATTTATTTTAGAGAGAGAGAGAGTGGGAGTGGGGAGAGGGAGGGCAAAGGAAGAGGGAGAGAGAGAATCTCAAGCAGACTCCCAGCTGAGCGCAGAGCCAGATGCAGGGCTCCATCTCAGGACCCTGAGATCATGACCTGAGCCAAAATCAAGAGTTGGATGCTTAACCATCTGAGCCACCCAGGCGCCCCTAAGTTATTTGAAAAGTAAGATTTTTAAAAATTATTTTGTTCCCTTATAAATACAAATAATCCTAGCAATATAACTCTTCCATTCCGTCAACATTTTTTTGAGAGGCTAATATGTCCTAACCCCTGTACTAGGTTCTGGATTTGTAGAAGGAAAACACCTGATTTTGAGGCTACACTACATAGAGATGTAGTGTAGATGAGTTAGGAAATGGAATTTTGGAAAGAGATAATGTAGAAAGCAGAGTAGATGAGTTAGGAAATGGAATTTTGGAAAGAGATAATGTAGAAAGCAGAGTAGAGGTGGGGCTTGGTTAACCTTAAGAGATAAAGAACAAGGATGTGGAAAAACTAGATTCCCTGTATACTCTTGGTGAGATTATCAAACAGCACAGCCACCATGGAAAATAGCATCATGGCGCCTCAAAAAATGTAAAACTAGAATTGTCATACGATCCAGCAGTTCCTCTTCTGGATCTATATCCAAAGAAAGAATTGAAAGCAGGATCTCAAAGAGAGATTTGCATACCCACATTCATAACAGCATTATTTACAGTACACCAAGAGGTGGAACCAATGCAAGTGTCCACTGACGAATGAATGGATAATCAAAATGTGGTCTGTCCATGCAATGGAATAGTATTCAGCCTTAAAAAGGAAGGAAACTCTGAAACATGCTACTTAAGGACATTATGCTAAGTGAAGTAATAAGCCAGTCTCAGAAAGACAGATACTGAATGATTCTACTTATATGAGGTATCTAGAGTAGTCCAACTCACAGAAAGTAGAATGGTGGTTGCCAAGGACAGGGGGTAGGGGGAAACGGGGAGTTGGTGTTTAATGAGTATGGAGTTTCAGTTTTGCAAGATGAAACTTACAAAAAGTTTGCAACTTTAAAACTAGCTCTAGAGAGTGCTTGAGTATAATCTAAATATACTTAATGCTGCTGAACTGGATACGTAGAAATGGTGAAAGTGGTAAATATTATGTCATGCATTTTTTACTACAATAAGAAGTAAGAAAAACAAGAGAGATCAAGGAAGGCAGAGCTCCATAAACCCGGCCCCTGAAGAAGGGCACCCTGATTTTTGTTATGAGCAAGAGATGAGGGGTTTTTTTTAGATGGTTGAATCTGAAGTGCCTGCCCAGCAAGAATAGCTAGGAAGTATTGGATGCAACAGGATCAGGGCTAGAAATATAGTTTGTCATCGACACATTACAAGTACTTAGCCTTGATAGACTTCAATGAGCTTAGCAACAGGAGAGTAAGTAGAGATATAAAAAAGTGAAGGATAGAATTCCAGGTTCCAGCTTTTAAGGGGCAGATGGTAGATTAAAAAAAAAAGGGAGAGAGAGAGAGATCTGAAGAAAAGCAGCAACCAGAGATTTAGAAGAAAATACCATACACAGGTCCAATAAGGTAAGGAAAGAAAAGTTACCTGGAGGATTTGTTAGCTAGTCAGTCTTTGGTTGCCTTGCCCTGGTGGCTAGTGGTGGTGGGATGGGGACTTCTATCACTCTCCCTGGAGCCATCTCCCCATCCAGGGGCTCTTAACCTGTGGGTTCATGGACTCTTTGGACAGGCTTCAGGGAGTCTGTGAGCCCGCAGGATATCAATGCAAAATCTTGTATGAATGTGCTTTTCTTCTGCAGAGACTCTCCATGCCTTTCATGATGTGCCATAGCATATGGAGTCAAGATCCAGTATTTCTGCTACCCTGATTTTATTTAGATTATGAGTGTAATTCCTTTTTCTTGTCCATCTTGAGAACATAATCACAATTTATAGTATTGTTTTCTATGGGAAGATATCATCCAAGTTGTGAAGTGACATGCTGATGAACTCATGCGATGTATTTAAGTTGGAGACTTACAACTTTTACACTTTAAAATTTCAGTGGTTAGTCAACAGGGTAGAGTAGGACTCACACTGAGAATCAATCCAGTAGGGGCACCTGAGTTGTTCAGTTGTTAAGCATCTGCCTTCGGCTCAGGTCATGATCCCAGGGTCCTGGGATCGAGCCCCACATCAGGCTCCCTGCTCAGCGGACAGCCTGCTTCTCCCTGTCCCACTCCCCCACCTTGTATTCCCTCTCTCGCTGTCTCTCTCTGTCAAATAAATAAATAAAATCTTAAAAAAAAGAATCAAGCCAATAGTCAAAACCAGTCTTACTAGAGTGAATATAAGCACATGTTGCATTTTCAGGACCCCCTCCATCCCCTTACACTTTGACCATTACGGGCAAAAAGTATTCTGTGTATTTACTTTTATTTAGATAATCTCACTATATCTCAGTTTCCTCATTTCTAAGTGAGTTAATAGTTGCCAGATATTACATAATATAAAAAATGAATTTTACTTGTATAAACAAATGTTTATATTAACAGGTTTTTACATAATTGCCTTTCTGATTTTAGCATTTTCCCACATCTTTTTTTTTTTTTTAATTTGTCAGAGAGAGAGAGAGCATAAGCAGGGGGGAGCGGCAGAGAGAGAAGCAGGCTTTCTGCTGAGCAAGGAGCCTGATGCAGGACTCGATCCCCGGACCCTGGGATCATGACCTGGGCCAAAGGCAGACACTTACTTAACTGACTGAGCCACCCGCGCATCCCGCCCCCATATCTCTTTATTTTATTTATTTATTTGACAGAGAGAGTGTGAGCGTGAGCAAGGGGAGAGGCAGAGAGAGAGAAGCAGACTCCCTGCTGAGCAGGGAGCCCGACGTGGGGCTCGATCCCAGGACCCTGGGATCATAACCTGAGCCGAAGGCAGACGCTTAACCAACTGAGCCACCCAGGAACCCTTTCCCACATATCTCCTGTGTGGTGTGGCCATTTTTCTTGTTTGAATTAGGTCATTCTGCGTCAATACATCCTGTGAATTTTGCAGATACACTGGAACAAAAACTGTAAATTAATGCCTAGAAATCCATCCCTACACTTGGAAAAGCAGTTTGGAACACATATCTTATTGATAGCAGGGGAGAGGACATTCATGTCAGCAGAAGTTACAGCAGTCAGTCATATGTCATTAACACTGTTGTTGGTGTTACACCTAACAGAACTGAGGCCACATTTCAGCCTTGCGTCTGAGAGTGACACCGCTGATCAAGAAGACTTGGATGCAGAAGATGACCATGAGGAACGGCCTTCGAACCAAACTGTCCGAAGACCTCATGCTGTCATTGAAGATGCTGTGGCTACCTCAGGGGTGAGCACGCTCAGTTCTACTGTATCCCACGACTCCCAAAATGCTCACCGGTCGCTCAATGTGCAACTTGGAAGGATGAAAATAGAAACTAATAGGTAAGTCCTATTCTGACGTGGGTGGGGTTCCTTTCCCTTCCTTTTATATAAGTGCATGTATTTTGGGTCTATTTTAAAGTTTGCTCCACAGATGGGGCACCTGGGTGGCTCAGTCAGTTAAGCATCCAACTCTTGATTTTGGCTCAGGTCATGATCTCAGGGTCGTGAGGTCAAGCCCTGCGCTGGGCTCCACACTGAGCATGGAGCCTGCTTAAGATTTTCTCTCTCCCTTTCCCCCACCCCCTCAAAAAAAATTAAAGTTTGGTCCAGAGAATACAAAATGATTCCTTTATCCCATTTACATAAACTTGGTTTGATATCTTTCTTTATCAAACAAGAGAGATTTGTCTTAGTCTCTTTAGTCAAAATCATTTTCTGCTCTACCAATTCAAGCCTTGTTCAGCACCATTCTTTGATCTCTGCTTTATCTCCAAGTACACTGAGATTTTCAAAGTAGTTGTAACCTCAGAGACTGTCTTGGACACAGACTCAGAGCATCGTGTACCATCCCAGAAGCAGCTAAAAGACAGACAGGAAATCCATGTTCTTGAAAGCCCATGATTTGGAATAGCAAGTTCTTTTAGAAGAGGAAGATCTCTGTTCTTGAGAATAAATTTAGTAGTGCTAAAGCTTTGCTTTTCTAAAAAGAACCTTGAAAGGATGATCAGTTGACTACATTTATGATCCTATTTTATTTTGAATATGTGCTTTCATATCTGAACTTTAATTTTTCTTTGAGAATTTGGTGACATAGAATCCACATGATCAGGTTATTAAGTGAAGAGTAAATATTTCCTGTTCTTCACAGAGGTTGGCACCGTTCAAGGTCTGAGTCTCTGATTTATAGCTTCCTGTGCTGGCTACAGTTGACATGTGAGCAACTGACTTTATGACTCTGGGTTTATAGTGAACCCTTTTTTTTTTGGAGTGAATCAATTAACAGTTGTTCAAATATTTAGTTAAAAATCTTGTTCACCAGGAGGATAAAACATTTTATTTCTTGTCATAAGTTTAAGTTTTTAAAGTTAAGCTTGAATATCGAGCTTAGTACGAGTAGTACAAAGCTCATGTTGTATTCAGAAACATGAATTTTGGTTGCATGATTGAGTAAATCCATACATACCATCTACGGTTTACATAGAGAAATCTTTCTGAATAAGAGGGAAAATGGCTTTCTGACCTCCAGATCCTAATCTTGTCCTTGGAAACCCAGCTCTTACTTGGCATCGCTACTATTTAGTGGAAGACTTTGTGTCTTTCCTCCTCTGAGACTTCTCCCGTGACATCCTTGGTGTCCCTCATTTCCTCAAGCAATACCCCAGTCATGACACTGCATCCGTTATAGTAGTTGTTAATTTTAGTCCTATTTTTTAGTTTACTCTCTCTGTCACCCAATCCTAGAAGGAGTTGTTTTTTATACCCCTCTCTGATCTCTGGAGGAGGAATGTTCACTCGTTACTGTTTGGGTCCGACCCCCAAACTCCTCCTCCACCCATGGTCAGAATTGTACAGGCAATAAAGCTACTTCATTTACCAATGAGCTGGTATATTTGTGTCTCTGGCCTTCAAACCTTCTGTCTGTATGCCCTGGCTTGTGTCAATAGAACCTGCCTCAGCTGAGTGCAGCCTCTTCCTTCTCTCCTTACACCGTTCCAGTCACCCCGGTTTCCATCCTGTCCCCGCCCTCTGTCTGCGCGCCTGCGCCGTCTGCAGGCGGGAAGGGCCGCTCTTCTGAGGGCCGCGGGGGCGGCGGGCCTGCTTCCCCCACGTCTGTTGAAAGGGCTACGACTTGCCGTATTTCTTGAGTGTGTTGTTGCATTTCTCACAACAGCCCACATTCATGTTTTTTCCCTCCCTATTTACCCTTACATCCGTGACATCTACAAGATTATGAGCCTCCTTTTTCTGTTTCGAGTAGTGTCTCCCACAGCTCCTCCCTGTCGCCCCCAGAGAAAGGAGACGAGGCACAAGATTCACCTCACTCGTGATGTAAAAAAAAGGTAGCTGCCTTCGTACTGGTACTAAGCAGCAGAAATGAGAGACTGATCATGTCTGTATCATTTTCAGTTGAATATTATTTTTTTTTTAAAGATTTTATTTATTTGACAGAGAGAGACACAGCGAGAGAGGGAACACAAGCAGGGGGAGTGGGAGAGGGAGAAGCAGGCTTCCCG